GCCTTGCTGATTGATAAACTGTAGAGACCTTTGGCCCGCTGGTAGAATAAGCCCAGCCTTCTTGCCAGCACGATCAAAGCTGTGCCCAGGGCGATTTAGCTGAAGGTGGGTAATTGCCGCTGAGGTTGATTTTGTCACCTCTAGGATATATTTAATCCCTACCGCGTTGTGTTGATGGCAATGTCGACAGACCCAGAAGGTACGGCTCAAGTCTCTGAGAGACGCGACGCGATAGCCGTGCTGAAAGACCCAGCTCTTCTTATGTTTGAGCGTACGTGGAGGCTTCCCGTATGCTGATAGAGTATCCCAGTTGATGCCTTCAAAGTCATCCGCGAAATGGCTATCCAGATCGGTGGCTGGCTCGTCTGGTAGAGGATCCGCCGTAGAAGCCGTTGCCGCGTCAGTGTCGTTAGTAGACGCGACAATAGCGGCATTCAGTAGTATAGACGGCGGGGAGGGCTCGATGAGAGTAGTATCGGTAGCCTGGCTTGTGGCTGCAGCTAGGGTTTCGTATGGTGACGCGTAAAATCTGATCTGGCTTGGGGTCGCGTCGATATCGACGGGTTGCGAGGCAGTCCCTCTGCTTGTCCGAAGACGTTTTGCAGGCACAGAACTGCCACGGCTTACGCGTTTCTGCTGACGGCGAGCGTGTGGGAGTGGCATGTTAGACAAAATAATCTTTATTGCTTCTTTGGTGGTATTGACAATACTATTGTATAGAGAGTCGAGATCAAAACAATACAGTCAGCACAGACCAAATACTACCACACCAAAAAGTCGATCGCGAGTTACCTGTTATGGACGCTATACCATCAAAAAGACCAATCAAATCAATCAATCTAAAGTCTCAGATTGATCTTGATTGATAGCATGCCCGCTCTATATTTGATTTGATTGATTTGGACGAATCAATCAAGAATCAATCAAATGAATCAAGAAATTGATTGTTAGCAAGTCTGGTTTCGGCCTTCATGGATAGGAGCCAAGGCCTTGTATCCATAAGTAATAGGGATTCTTTACCCCTCTTCTATCAAGCCTGACAGGCCTCCTTCAAGGGAACAACGATCAAAAAGGCCTTTGAGGCTACAGGCCTCTCGGCCTTGAATCCTGAGATTATACTACAACGTTTTGATGATAACCTTTATTCTATTAAGTGACAGTAAGTTATATGTGCCAAGTACCTCTAATTGGAGGAAAACCGAACGCATACTGCGTGAGATAATGAAGGATCAAGGAAACAAATGAGCTTGAAAGCTCAGCCTCAAAAACGCTCCTTGAGCATGAGGTTAAGGGCCTACAAGAGGTGCTAACTAACAAGAGACTACGCAGAAAGCGAGGGAAGCCTTTGTCTCTGCAGGAGGCTGAGGAGTACCAGGGTAGAGCTGTATTCTGGTCTCCAAGGAAGGTAAATGAGGCGCGCGATCGCCTACGACTCCAGGAGGAGGAGGAGAAGCAGCTATAACTCCAAAAGGCTGAAACAGTAAGGCAATGCGATGAGGCAAGGCGGGCGATGGTGAGAGATAAGGAACAGAGGCGTCAAATGAGGCTTGCAGTGAGCCTATTGAGGCAGAGGGAGGAGGAGGAAAAGGCTATGGACAAGACCTCGAGGATCACGGCTCGCAAGGCTGCACAACAACTTCAAAAAGCTATCAATACTTCTCAAAGGGGCAAGAGAAGAAGCTTTAAGGCGTCTATACAGACTATTCGAAAAAAGAGGCCTGTTGCCGTTGCAGTGGTTTGTTGATTTAGCTTAGTTGAACTCGTTACTTCTACGACCTTGTAAACACTGTGACAGTTCATCAAGTTTCTCGCTCATTCTATACGTTACATCAACATTAATTATCTTCACATAGCGTAAAGTCTGGGGATTATGATAAAACAGTGAGAGATCGAGATCGAGATAAGACCGTGGGGGATCTAGATGTTACTGCGATGAATCGGGCCTGGATACTGGTATTGTAAGGGGCTGGACGCAAGAGAGTGCCATGCCAAGGGCAATGCCGGGTGTAACAAGATTGTGTCCCATTGAGAGCTGACAGCTAACTACTTAAGAGCTCATATCTGCGTACGGATTGCAGAAATACGCTCTCCAGTTGATCTGAGTGTCATGTCTGAGCGCTGTGTCTGAATCGCGGCCGGATGGGTAGAATCCGGGTGAAAGCCGGATTCTATGATCGCGCACCGAGATATCATCGAGGAGCTCTACCAAAGGGCGTTTAGCCCGTTGCATGCGGATGAGGAACTATTACGCGAAGGAGTAATTTTTGCGACAGTCATTTGCCGGTTTCACTAGTTTAGAGCCGGTATGCGGTGAGAAACCCCACTACATGGATTAGTGCAGTCCGTTACGCTGATATCAGCAGAATGTCTGGGAGTAATGCATTCATAGTATAGATTATCGGGCAGAATAGATATAGAATCTCTTTTTGCCACATTGATCATCGGGTATATAGAGAACATTCACCCCTTAAAGTGGCAAGACTCATTCTTTTTCTGTAGCCGTACTCCCATCAATCGTCGATATTAGTTTTGCTGTATCGTTATTCAAGCTTGACATGTATAGCACAAACCCAGTCCTAATACAGGATGCTGCACGTTTGTTGTCAGGACTACCACCACTGTTCTTGATTCACAATGCAAGTGGCTCGATATCCGACTACTTTCAGCTAGGGCCACTGGATTGTCGCGTATATGGAATATACAACCCGCAAGTAGAGGGAGCCCATAGAGGAACTTGGCACAGTATGGTTGATATGGCGCAGGCTTATGTTCAGCTAATTAAAAATGTATCGCGTCGCGGTAGCATTCTCATAGGGGGTAAGAAATATCCTGCAATCGTTAAGATAAAAAGAACTTTACCTGAATTGTTTTAGGTTGGTCATTTGGAGGCATTCTGGCTGTGCACATTGCACAGATATTAAACAACGAAACAAAAGCACCTCGCGTCGCTGGGATCATCTTAATAGATTCCGTCTACCCTACAAGACTAAGACATGGACTTGATATGGATTTGCAAGAGAACATTGTAGCTGGAGTTGTGGCAGAACTAAAGGATAAACATCCTGTCTCATTGGTTCGATCGACCTATTTGCGCTATGCACGGCAACTGCCTTCTTGGAACAACTGTGCTACTGGAATTTGCAGAGCACATATGTCGGTACCATTTTCTGTTACTTTGATTCGTGCTGGCTCCCGCATTCCGATGGCCAACCCCCAAGAGACTTCCTTTCTGGACTGGACACGCAGCATGCCACATTTAGGCTGGGAAAACTATCAGGGGGACTTCATTAGCCAGGTACTGGAAACTCCAGGGAATCATTTCAGCATCTTCGACACCCCCAATGTAAGATGTACGCGTACTGCTTGGAACAGACTACTAACTCTAAATTAGTTGTTATCCACTACCTCCAGCATACGGGACGCACTGAAAGCATTCAGGAAAGTATTGTAGCAGAACACAGTTTTAAACCAACAGAGAGTACAGGGTTCGATCCCGCAACCAGATCAGAGGAGGCGCTGCCTGATCAGCAAACTTCATGTAGCAATCGCTAGTATGGGACTGAAGAAAGAAGGCGTCTGAGCAACCTGAATATCTTTTACCTTACATTCTTCCACTAAATCATGTACCCAGTCCTTTGCTGCCACCTAGCAAAGAGCTATAATGTATGTCGCAAGCGTGCAGCGCATCTTATCAAATTTACTCCCTTCTTCAATCTTAACGTATCATGGCTCGACGTAGTGCTCCTCTATTGGTTTCAAGTAAAGCAGAAAGCCAGCTTGCTGTCTCTTCTGTTGATAATAAGCAAGCCCAAAACAGTCGTTCTGCTGCAGCAGTCTACGATGTAGCCGACACAACGCTCCGCAGCCGACGCGCTGGTGTACCTGCCCGACGCGATTGCCAGCCTAACTCAAAGAAGCTCACCAAGCCAGAGGAGAATGTGGTAGTCAGTTACATACTTGACCTAAAATTACGTGGATTCTTGTCTATCTAGGCAGCTGTGTGCGATATGGCTGATAGACTGTTAGTTGCGCGCGGCGCTGGCCAGGTTGGCGTCCACTGGCCGCGCAACCTTGTCAAGCGTACAGATAGGCTTACGACACGTTTTAATGGAGCGTACGATAGGCAAGGAGCTATTTGTGAAGACCCAAGCTTAATCAAGAGTTGATTTAAGCTTATATAGCAGACAAAGGCCAAGTACGGTATCGGTGATGAGGACGTCTACAACTTTGATGAAGCCGACTTAATGATGGGCAAGATCACGACTCAGCTTGTTATGACAAACGTAGAGAGGAGAGGCATACTGAAAGCTGTCGAGCCAAGCAATCGTGAGTGGGTGACGCTGATCGCAGTGATTAACGCAGCTGGCTAGACAGTCCTACTGTTCCTCATCTTCGCTGGCCAGTATCTCTCTGCCTGATGCGAAGAAACAGAGATAAATACCGCGCGACTGGGTGATCGCGGCTAGCGATAATCGCTGAACGAATAACGTGCTAGGTGTTGCATGGCTAGAGCACTTTGGCGCTCACACCAAGACGCATGTTATAGGCGCCCGTCGGTAACATCCCTGATGGCCATGAGAGCCACTAATCTCTTGAGTTCAAGAGACCTGCAAAGAAAATAGCATCTAATTACGCACTCTGCATGCTACCGCACTCATCTCACTTACTCTAGCCTCTTAACGTGGGCTATTTCTCGCCATAAAGGCGCCCATATAGCTGCGAGGTGGAGAATCTAATACGCCGCCATATCAACTATAGCACCAGGCTTGACTTTTTGCCAGCGTTCAAGGTAGCATTTGATCAACACTTCACGTCAAAAATTGTTCTATAAAGGCTTGACACACAAATATGCATGCCAACCACACCAACTACTCCAGTTCTCGCAGAAGTTCTCTGACGAGCCTGTACACCAAGTAAGGTACACGAGCTTGAAGCCCAATCAACGTTAATACGCAATCGTGTTCTGAAGCATAAGAACTCATCGCCAGCTTCAGTTATTGCGGCGACTGACCAGCTTAATGGAGGGGCTAAGGTAATAGTCTTCTAAGCTAAGCCAATGCGCAATTGGATCGCCAGCCTGAAGTTTAATGAGGTAGCAACAAAACGTAGGCAGCGTAAGAAGAAGCGGATACAGAAGCAAGGAGTGCTGACAAAGGGAGCTGGAGAGGATCTACTCGCTCAACGTGAGGCTGATCAGCAGATTGCTCATGAAGAGCGTCAAGGAGGAGAGCAATCGAGTGTCAGCCGCCAGGCTCTGGTGCACTGTAGCAGATGCAAAGAGACTGGCCACAACTCACATAACTACGGGTAAAAAACATACTCTAGAAATTACATAATTAATCTACTTTATCTGAATTAGAATATTTCATTGGTGCGTTGTAAAGAAATATACTTATAGAAGTAGGCAATATTGGTAGCACACGTCACTCATTTATAGAATCCGAAGCTTATTGCCATAAAGTCAACGGCTAACAATGAGAACTTGGTGCTCTCAACTGCGACTGGGTGTAAAAGGCCATGTCTACTGGAAGATTATCGTCTTAAACACTTTATGCATGTCTCCAACTCACTGAAATTGAAAACGATTGGTTCTTTATCCCCCACGCTTCATAACAACCCTGATGACCAGAACTGGGCCCCATGTTCCATCAAATGCTGTTTCAAACTTCAGCTTAACTCAATCTAGGATCTAGCTACAAGACGTTTACTACTTAGTTGGAATTCTTCGATATCTAGGAAATGATTTTAACTTGAACACTAGACGAAATCTGGGCATAGCATCGTGGAAGAAAGTATAGTATACTTCAAACGCAAATGAGATTATACAGGCTATCTAATCGCTCCCAACATAGCCCTCTTTGGGGAAGGAGAGGCCGCCTTCTATAATGGGTTTAGGCTGTGCAAAGCGATCTGGCAAAGCATCTTGCATGTACCCTCCAACCTTTAGGCAGATCAGCTATTTTCTTCATAAACAGTTAATGGATTAACTACCACTTACACAAAGTGCCGACATAACAGCACACAACTTTGCTTGTTGTAGACTTGCACCTAGACCGACTCCCCAAAGACTTGGCTTTGATTCTTCAGGGCTAACTTCTGCGTAAGCGGCATAGCTAGCGGCATAGCTCGCAAACCCGTCAATAAGGTTATGGGAGGTAATCGTTGCTGAAAGGCTTGGCAAATCAAATAGTTGACCCAGGTCAGCAACAAGTGTGTTTCCTGCATGCAGGACTGTCTGGATCACGTCATCAGTCGACCTTTCAGCAGCACTTTGAACCTGGTATTCCCTGAGAAATGCCGTGCAAACCTCTTCAGATGACAATACGCGGTCCAATCGAATGGACCAATCCTTGACTGCTTTAGAGAACACGTGTGCAAGCCTAGGTGGCAGGTCTAGCCCTAGCCCCAACTTTATAACATGGGCTACACCACCCTTTCCACTCTGGCTATTGATACCCACGACATCTTCAAACGAGCGTCCAATGTCTGTTGGGTCAAGCGGAAGGTAAGGGACGCGCCAAGCCGGCCACACGGCACTAGGTCCGGCCTTCTTGGCGGCTAACGTGCGGAGCTGGATGCCCTTGGAGATTGCGTCTTGATGGGTTCCGCTGAAGGCTTTTAGATAATATGCCCCAGAGTAGGGTGTGCGGGGGTGGACAGGTATTCCGGTAATATCTTCGCAGACCTTACGGATCTCGTCTAAACGGGACAGATCAATACCAGGGTCGATGCCCTGGGTGAGAAGATTCAGCGCAAACACGACCAAATCCATGTTGCCAGCACGTTCTCCATTTCCAAACAGGCACCCTTCGATCCGGTCGGCTCCGGCTAGACTAGCGAGTTCGGCCGATGCCACGGCACCACCGCGGTCGTTGTGCGTGTGGACAGTAAGGCGAATTGTGTCTCTGTGAGAGATGTTTCGGGATAGATACTCAACCTGGTCAGCAAATATGTTCGGAGTGGAGGCCTCCATGCTAGACGGCACGCAGATAATCATCTTTTCCTCTCTGGACGGATTCCACTCAGCTCGGATAGCTTCGGTGCAACGTATGATAGCTTCCATTCGGGCGTTTGCAAAGTCTTCAAACGCGAAATTGAATGTCCATCGGGTGTTCCGGACTGTCGGATCGTCGGACTCCTTGGTGATAGAACGGGCATAAGCTGCTCCTCGACGAGCGCGCTCTACCCATTCATCTTCTGATATGTTTAACACCGTGTTCCGAAAGTTATCGCTGCTGGGCAAATAAGTGAGAATGATGGCCTGCTTTGCACCACGGACACTCTCTACCGCTTTTTTGATCGTCTCATCTCGGCATGGCGTAATGACCTGGATCAGAACGTCATCAGGTATCAAACCAGGTGTTTCAATCAGATATCGGACAAAATCGAATTCAACTTGATTAGCGCATGGATAGGCTACTTCAATCTCCTTAAATCCGATTGACACAAGGAGCTTATATAACGAGAGCTTTTGCTCAAACGTCTAGCTTGCGATTAGCGCATAGTCTTCGTGAGTTTTCTTTAACACCAACCATGGGATTCGGAAGGGATTGATTCCCGTCTCGTAAATCCGTAGAAAATAGTACTGGTGCTGTCTCAAGAACCCTGTTCGGCCATTGTCGCTCTGGGAAAGGGAAGAGTTGAACTCGGCCGCCGTATTTCATTATTGGGCTTTGCCCATCCGAACACGTAAGGAACATCTTGGGAGAAGGATAAGAGAAGTTTTTTTTGTGCTCGACAGTGGCGGTGGCAGGTCGCGACTGAAGTACGTAGTGATGTATCTCTGTTGTCCTCTTTATATGCGTATGGAAGTCTTAGTTCATGCACATGCAGACCCTTGAAGTCTTAGTTTGCTCACTACATGCGGGGTTGTCCGACATGTAGACTAGGTCTGGTTACATGCATATCCCTCTGATTTTTCCTATATCTAGGAATGGCTCCAGGGTGAAGATAGCAGGCCTGTTTCCGGGTAGTCTCAGTGGCGAGTTGACTATTCAGGACTGTACTAATATAACAAACCGAACCAGCTACCCTGATATTGTAACGGGCTGAATGTGCTTTGGTATCGTCTCGGTAAGTCTTAGATTCTGGGTAAGGTCCTATGCACCCAGAATCTGCGATTCGCTCGAACAGCGGTCAGGTCCCTACTAATAAATCTCTAACCGGCGAGTAGATAAATAACTGCATAGGCAGATAGCCAGTTCTTTGCTAAGTACGGGCCTGTTTTATTCGCCCCGGCTATCAGCTATATCCCCTTGAGTCTAGCTCCTTGTAAGCTACTTTTCAACTTACTACCATGTAGCTACGTGGGAGTCCTGTCAGTTAAATAGACTGGATTCAAGATTGCACCAGCCAATCCAGCGGCCGGCGGCCTCAAACTAACAAAGATGGGGTTAGAAACACTACCGGTACCGGCACGGCTTGGTATCTCCGTGGCCATGTGTACCGCCTAGCATTATTCGGTCCATCCATCTTGGTACATATGTATCTGGCTTTCTCTAGTTCTTCAAGCTTATGTAGTTTCAGTTGCACTGTTCATCAGACTCGTAGTGACGGAGCTGTGTCGTTTTGGAGTTTGAGGTAGTCAGTGCCCTATAGACGTTCAGTCCACGGACATAGCAATCGACGCTTGAGCAACTGCGCTCTTGAATACGTGATCGTAGCATCCCGTCACGCCAGCATAATTGCATTCTAAATATATGGTCGTCGATTTTTTAGATATCAGGCGAGCTATGGTGATTACTGTGTCCTGAGGGATCGTGTTAAACCGTAAACCTAGCATGAATTCACGTGCTTGTTTTAGTCCGCCAAGTACACTTTAGATACGAACGCATGTTCATTCTGTCTGCTAGTCTAGATCTCACCACTTTTAGAGTTGTACGGCCTTGGAACCGACGCCTTGGCTGCAACGATCCTACAATGCCTTCCTCAGCGTGCTCTTGAATGGAAAGATTTGCGCTTTGTCCCAGTCCCACACGCCTTCGGAAACATAGATATCGTTCTTAAGCCGCTCAACCACCTCCTCACGCGTCCGCGCTCCAACCAGCATAGCAGAGCCCTTCATCTTTGGCGGTGTAGATTTGCCTTCCTGGATTGGCTCTTCAAGCATGGGTCCTACCGCCTTACGTATTAGTTTGTGAATCTATGATTGCGACCGTCACGTAGGTGAAAAGAGAACCCACCGCCCCACAGCCAGAAATCGTCCGGATCCTGTTTCAGTCGACTGAGGTGTTCGGGCCGCACTTTGAGCCGTTTCTCCAACACACCATCAAAGTCCGGGCAGATGACAAACCACTCTTGTAGCGGAGCTCGCTCTGCAGCAGCACTGCTAGGAGCCATGTTTCTCTAGGGAAAAGATATGTGGGAAAAAGATGCTAGTACAATGGACTTGGGGAGGCGTGTTATAGTGCGGGACAGGGCGCACCGGGTATGTCGAGCGAATATGTATGATTAGCGAGAGCTGTGCTAGTCTTTCTGTTCGAAGAGAGAAAATGTAGCATTCACTAGATAAAAACGCGATAACGTGTTTTACAAGCGAGCGGGCCATACAAGCGAGCGGGCCACCCCACCAACTTTGCGCACCTCTTTACGTGTACAGCTCTACCACAACTAAATAAAACTCATATATATTAAGATAGTAGATTAAATACTATCTAAAGTATCTTTCTTA